TAGACACAAAATTTAGAAAGACACGTCCCTCAGGAGAGGAGAGGAAGGGAGGCAGCAGAATGGAACATGGTGGGAACACAGAGGAAGAGGAGGTTCTCGATAATGTCTTAGTTCTTAAAACTAGCGATAGGTTTCAGGTATACAAATAGGTCACTAAAATAAAATAATAAGCAAGGACCAGCCAGGCGTGGTGGCTCATGCCTGTAATCCAGCACTTTGGGAGGCCTAGGCGGGCGGATCACCTGAGGTCAGGAATTCAAGACCAGCCTGGGCAACATGACAAAACCCCATCTCTACTAAAAACACAAAAACTAGCTAGGCGTGGTGGCAGATGCCTGTAGTCCCAGCTACTCGGGAGGCTGAGATAGGAGAATTGCTTGAACCAGGGAGGAGGAGGTTGCAGTGAGCCGAGATCACACCACCACATTCTAGTCTGGGTGACAGAGCAAGACTCCGTCTAAAAAAAAAAAAAAAGAATAAGCAAGGACCAATGAAGGGAGCATGTCATGAACCAATGTCGTAATTATTCTAGCACACCCAAGGTACACCCATTTCAAACCATGTGAGCTGCGAGTAGGCACAGGGTTGGGTCGCTGGAGTGGGAAAGACTGCATGCGCTTATGCCTAAGGATGTTTACCATGAGAGAGATGGAATCCAAAATAATGGTTCACATCCACCTTTGTATGATCATCAGAATCTCAGACTTCCTCATTTTACTCTGTCCATTTCCTTTTTGTTCTTAGTTTTTATGTTAATTGTAGGAAAGTTAACACCTTGTTTAAAAAGTAAACTGGCTGGGCATGGTGGCTCACACCTGTAATCCCAGCACTTTGGGAAGCTGAGGTGGGAGGGTAGCTTGAGTCCAGGAGTTGGAGACCAGCCTGGACAACATAGTGAGACCCTGTCTCTGCAAAAATAAAAAATATTAGCTGAGCATGGTGTCATGCACCTGTAGTTCTAGCTACTTGGGAGGCTGGGGCAGGAGGATTGCTTGAGACCAGGAGGTCAGGGCTGCAGTGAGCCATGGTCATGCCACTGGACTGTAGCTTGGGCAGCAGAGCAAGACTGTCTCTTAAAAACAAAACAATTCCGGGCACGGTGGCTCACACCTGTAATCCCAGAACTTTGGGAGGCTAAGGCAGGTGGATCACTTGAGGTCAGGAGTTCAAGATCAGCCTGGCCAACATGACGAAACCTCGTCGCTACTAAAAATACAAAAATTAGCCAGGTATGCTGGTGCACGCTGATAATCCTAGCTACTCGGGAGGCTGAGGCAGGAGAATTGCTTGAACTCAGGAGGCAGAGGTTGCAATGAGCCGAGATCATGCCATTGCACTCCAGCCTGGGTGACAGAATGAGACTCTGTTGCAAAATAAATAAATAAATAAATAAATAAATAAAATAAAATTATGGCCAGATGCAGTGGCTCACGCCTGTAATCCCAGCACTTTGGGAGGCCAAGGCAGACGGATCACAAGGTCAAAAGATAGAGACCATCTTGGCCAACATGGTGAAACCCCGCCTCTACTAAAAATACACACACACACACAAAATTAGCTGAGCATGGTGGCATGCGCCTGTAGTTCCAGCTACTTGGGAGGCTGAGGCAGGAGAATTACTTGAACCCAGGGGGAGAAGGTTGCAGTGAACCGAGATCGCGCCACTGCACTCCAGCCTGGGCAACAGAGCGAGACTCTGTATTAAAAAAAAACTTAAAATTAAAAATTAAAAACAAAACAAACAAAACTAACTTTGTCATTTCACCCCGGAGGGAAAATTGGGAGAGGGTGGCATATGGCTTTTATACAGTCCAGCAGCAGATTCTAGGCAAGGAGAGGAGCCAAAGCCCTTAGCAGAGGCCTGAGTCTGAGGAGACAGGGAACCAGCAAGGAGTCTCCAGCAGCAGGGCTGTGAGAGCACTCTCAAAAGCAGGACTGTCTAATGCTAAAATGGCTTGCCTTGGTGTGACCAAAAAAATCCAACCTTTTCAATAAAATCTTCACTGCACTTCAGCCTGGGCAATAGAGGGAGACCTTGTCTCAAAAAATTAGAAAAATAAAGTCTGCTTCTAAACCAACCATATTGCGTGAGTGATTCTAGGAGAACACATAGAAAAGGCTCATATTTGGGTTGGTGGGAGCAGAGGGAAAGAATCACCATAAAAATGTGACAGGTAAATGACCTCAGCAGTGCTGAAGATGCAGGAACTTATCAGAGGGCTCCTGAGAACATCCACCCCGGAGTTCGTGGACATTTTCAGAGAGCCTCTGGGCTTCTCCCAGAACGAGGAGAGGAAGTGTCCATAAACTATGATGGTAGCTGATGTATAAAATGAAATAGAGCTATAGGAAACTAGGTAGAAATATGCATCCCTTGGTGCATTTGGGAGGCCACTTCTTCCACTGGCTTGAGCCTGCTTTCGTGAGATGGAAAAGCACAACGTTTGGAAGTCTGGAGAAGGAAAGAGAAGGAAGGAGATGCTGGCCATCGATGTAGGGAAAGTATCACAAAGTAAAATCCCCACTAGTGAAGCTGCTACAATTCCATGAAAGAGTCTGTGGTCAGAAATGCTGTTATCAAACAAACAAAAATAAATAAATAAATGAAGTGCTGTTATCAGAGATCAGAAAGCTTCATAATGCGTAGAGAGGTTTTCAGGCCGGGCACGGCGGCTCACGCCTGTAATCCCAGCACTTTGGGAGGCCGAGTGGGGTGGATCACAAGATCAAGAGATCAAGACCAGCCTGGCCAACATGGTGAAACCCCGTCTCCACTAAAAATACAAAAATTAGCTCAGCGTGGTGGCACACGCCTATAGTCCCAGCTACTCAGGAGGCTGAGACAGGAGAATCACTAGAACCTGGGAGGCGGAGGTTGCAGTGAGCCAAGATCTTGCCACTGCACTTCAGCCTGGCAACAGAGCAAGACTCTGTCTGAAAAAAAAAAAGAGAGAGAGAGGCTTTCCAAGATGGTAGACAAGGTGAGCTGTAATTTGAAGATAGCCCTGAATATCACCTAAAAAAGCAATGTTCCTGAGCAGGAAAAACAGGCCCTGCAAGCTGGGTAGCAAGCGGTTAAGTAAGAAGAGGGGAGTGTGGAAAGGAATGGGCAGCTGGCGGAGGCCTGGTGGACCCATCCTGGAGAGGCAGGCTCCAGACGCTGGAGGGCAAAAGATGTCTCGTTCTCTTCCAGCAGCGTCGCAACTGGATCCAGCCCAGTTCCAGTTTGTCCTCCCAGAAGAGCAGGGGTCCATCTGGGGACAGGTCCAACCCCTCTCCTTCTGACATGTCCCCCAAGTGGCTCTGGAGGTCTAAATCAGACAAGCTTTCAGCAACCCTGTTGGCAAACCCATCCCTGCACCTGCTGACCAAAGACCAAAAGATGAACAGACAGGGCAAGAGGGAGAGACAGCACATGGGTTTCCCAGCCAGCCTTCCGGAAAGGCAGATTTACACAGGCCCATCCTGTTCACCGTCGATGGCCCTATGGGCAAAGAGTGGAATCTTTCTCCACACATCTATTCTTTCAACCAGCTCAGCAGGAATGCACCCACACAGACATGTGACTCACACCAGCAGGTTTCTCATGTATTTTTGAGACTTAAAATGATGCTAGCTTCAGGCCAGGCACAGTGGCTCACCCTGTAATCCCAGCACTTTGGGAGGCCTAGGCGGGTGGATCGTCTGAGGTCAGGAGTTCGAGACCAGCCTGGCCAACATGGTGAAACCCCATCTCTACTAAAAATACAACAATTAGCTGGGCGTGGTGGCACATACCTGTAATCCCAACTACTCAGGAAGTTAAGGCTTGAATCAGGAGGCAGAGGTTACAGTGAACCAAGATCATGCCACTGCACTCCAGCCTGGGTGACAGAGTGAGACTGCATCTCAAAAAAATAAATAAATAAAAATAAAGGCTAACTTCAGTAGAAAAGAACTTCATTCTCAAATGTTAGAATTGAGAGTTTGCTTCATTGTGCTATTTTCATGGAGAAAAAAATAATATTTATTTTTTTTTTCTGATCATGAAAGCAGTGAAAGTTTATTGGATAAACAGCTGGAAACTCAGAAATATAGTATCAATAACATAAAGGTTGGGCGCAGTGGCTCATGCCTGTAATCCCAGCACTTTGGGAGACCAAGGTGAATGGATCACTTGAGGCCAGGAGATCGAGACCAGCCTGGCCAACATAGTGAAGCACCATCTCTACCAAAAATTAAAAAATTAGCCGGGCATGGTGGTGGGTGCCTGTAGTTCTAGTTACTTGGGAGACTGAGGCACAAGAATTGCCTGAACCTGGGAGGTAGAAGTTGCAGTGAGCCAAGATCGCATCACTGCACTCTAGCCTGGGCAACAGAGTGAGATCCTGTCTCAAAACACATACATAAGAAGAACACTGAAATTGCTCACGAGCTGGCTATTCCTTCATTCAAATGTGTGACGGAGCTCCTTCTCACTGCCAGGTCTGCTCTGGGCTATGGAGGTGAACACAACCAGAAGGGCCCTTGTTCCTGTGCCGCTGACCTGCCAGTGGGGGAAGCAGACAAGAGGTGATTCCATGGGCATGAAGTATGTCGGGTCGTCACAACGCCATGAAGAAGAATAAACAGGGCAAGAGGGACAGACAGACTACTGAGCTGGGCGTTCCCTGTTTGGAGGGTCAGGGAAAATTCCAGAAAGAAGCAGAGTGAACTTTTGGATGTTTTTCCTTCCAAGCTTTCATCTAAATATTAACGTTCTTATTATCATTTACAAGTTTTTAGATGAAACTTCTTTAAAAAAAAAAGTTTTTCTTAGAAAAGCAACACCTTTAGCCAGGCATGATGGCACATGCCTGTAGTCCCAGCTACTCGGGAGGCTGAGGTGGGAGGATTGCTTGAGCCTGGGAGGTTAAGGCTACAATGAGCTATGGGCACCACTGCAATAGACAACAAAAGCAAGATTCTGTCTCAAAAAAAAAAAAAAAAAAAAAAAAAGGAAAAAAGAAAAATAAAAAAAGTCATACTTGTTCATTGTAGGAGACCTGGAAGTGGTAGAAAATCTGGAAGGGAAAGGGAGAGAGAAGATAAATCTCCACAATGGTACCAGCATAGGATGATCCCTCCAGATGTATTGATTCATCTCCCTCCTGCTACCTTTCTCAATTGCTAAACTCACACGGTATTTACATGACTGAATCCTGCTTTTCTTAACCCCTATCATAAACATGACCCCATGTTTGTCAGAGCTTTGAAAGACAAAGTGCAAGAGGCCACTGTTTCCCTTCTACGTTGGAAAAGGCCGTCACAGAAGCGCAGGCGCCATGCTCTCCTGTCTGGCTGCCTGGGTGCCGCCCCGTCTGGGAAGATCCTGGGCCTCCATTCAACCTGTCATTGAGAGAACTTCAGCCAAGTGATGAGTCCCAGATCTCCAGAAGTCAAACCCCAGGTAGAGGGATCACTTTGTGTCAGACCCAAAGGGAGCTGAGGTTGCCCGCAGAGCTAATGGAGTATTTGTTTCAGAGGTAGAGGCAAGGGAGGGTACACACCCCCAGGAGAGTCAGGTAAGAACCAAAGAGGAAGAAGACATAGATAGCAGGAATGCATGTTTTGAGAGTCGGAGTTGATGGCCCCTCTATCTCAGAGTCTGAGGCAGCCCCAGACTTCCCCCTCAAACTCCTACAGCAGAGATGCCATTGTCTCAGGGAGCCTGCAAGGGCCCAGCTTCCTGTCTCAGGAAGCAAATGCAAACTGGTGTCCTTCCCACCCTCACCTGCAGCATCTCCGCCCTCAGCCATTTCCCCCGGGGCCTGGGCCTCCTCCTTTTTGCTTCCTAGCCTTATTGGAGCATCATTCTGGACCTATAACCACACACACCCACTCCCAACCCCACCAATCAGGTCATTAGAGAGTTTTATTTTATTTTATGTATTTATTGTGAGATGGGGTTTTGTTCTTGTCGCCAAGACTGGAGTGCAGTGGCGCAATCTCAGCTCACTGCAACCTCCACCTCCCAGGTTCAAGCAATTCTCCTGCCTCAGCCTCCCAAGTAGTTGGGATTACAGGCACCTGCCACCACACCTGGCTAATATTTGTATTTTTAATAGAGTTGGAGGCTTCACCTATCTGTCAGGCTGGTCTTGAATTCCTGACCTCAGGTGATCCACTTACCTTGGCCTCCCAAACTGCTCCCTACAAGCGTGAGCCACCGTGCCCAGTCAAGAGTTTTATAAGCAAAATATTGCTCTTCAAAAAATCTTCCAGCATGTCTACTGTACCTAAGACTACACGAAACCTTATGAAGGGTTTGGTTCTCTGTGAAAGACGGATCCTGTTGGCCAAAGGTGTCAGCAGGTACTGCCCCAGATCTCACAATCTGCACTCATATCTTGCATGTTTCACCGAGATCCAAATGGTCTGGTACTTGGAGCAATCTTAGTTCACGCACCTACAAAGTCTTGCTACTTTCTTTTTTTTTTTTTTTTTTTTTTTTGAGACAGAGTCTCACTCTGTCACCCAGGCTAGAGTGCAGTGGCACAATCTCAACTCATGCAACCTCCACCTCCCAGGTTCAAGCGATCCTCCTGCCTCAGCCCCGCCTAGTAGCTGGGATTACAGACACGCGTCACTATGCCTGGCTAATTTTTGTATTTTTAGTAGAGATGGGGTTTTACCATGTTGGCCAGGCTGGTCTTGAACTCCTGACCTCAGGTGATCCACCCACCTCGGTCTCCCAAAGTGCTGAGATTACATGCATGAGCCACTGCACCCACCCAAGTCTTGCTACTTTCTAGCTGTGTGTCAGTAAGCAAATTATTTGCCCTTTCTGAGCACCTGGTTTTCTCATCTGAGAAAAAAAAAGCAGGGGGGCGGGGAATAATAGTTTGCACCTCTTAGGGTTGTGTAAGGATCAAGAGGCGCACTGCCTGTGAAGTGCCAGCATATAGTCAGTGCTCAACAAACAGGGTACTTTGTCATCCACACTATTTTATGACCAAGAAACTTCTGGGTTGGCCAACATAAGGAGGTATTTTTCCTGCCTTGAAAACTTTTCCATCCAAGACAAAGGTCACGTATTCAGATGCCTTCAGGCCCGTCAGGTAAGATAAGTAAGAGAAAAGGGGTGTGGAAGAAATTAGGCAAACCGGAGAGGAGCCCAGGCTGCTTGATCTCTGGCAGGAATGCAAGGCTTGAGTTCAGATCTTCTGATTTTTCTCTTCTAAGGAAAGCCATAAATCTGGATTTTTTTGTGTGTGTAAAATGACTGGATCTTTTAAAATGTGGCAGTAAGTCCTTTTTTAAAAAAACTGATGCAGACAAAACCAGTGTGTAGCGCTTTGCAGGGAATGGCGGGTTGGTGTGCTGAAAGACGCCTCGTTATAAAATGACATTTACATGGAGAGTAGTGGGGGTCTGCATGAGGGGAGGACAGGCGTGTGGGGCACAAAATGGGGGTGGGGTTTGGAGTTTGTGTCTTGTGTGTGGCCTCAGGAGTGGGTGGCTAAAGTGAGTCAACCCCCCGGAGATGAGGGGCCTCAAGAACAGGGAAGCCAGCATGGGGCTTTCTGGACAAGGACATGGGAAGGGCCTGAGCTGCCAGGGAAAACCATGGAATACGTGCCAAAATCTTTAGTGGGCAAGCGAGGTGACCGAATGACAGATACAAGGGGGACCAGAAGGTGGGAGATCAGGGAGCACAAACTTCTAAGGGAAAGCAGGGGTTACGACGCTACCTCAGAGAGGAGCTTTGCAATCTGCGTGGAATGATTGTGCAAAGGGCTTACCACCAGCCTCGTGCACACAGATGGTCAGCAAATATCAATTTGGGTAATTTATTAATTTTCACAATAAACACTTCCTGGGGGTATACTATGTGCCAGATACTAGGTGCGAGCAAGATCCCAGGGTTCCTTCATTGAGGGAGAAGAGAGGGCAGTGGAGAGCCAGGCGAGTTCACGAGCACTTGCAGGACAGTGGGGTAAGGACGATGGGGCCATACGCAGAGGTAGGGGACAGAGAGAGCCTCCTGGAACCCAATGAGCAAACAGGACAAGCATGTGAAAAGGTAGGTGGACTACTGTCCCGACAGGGGAAAAGGTTCTGGAAGCTGGAGGCTGTGAATCAGCAGAGCAATGGAGGAGTTGAAAAAAATGCGGCAGAGCTGGCTCCCAGCCGACAGGGGTGGCATGCAGGACCTTCCCCCGAGTGAGGTTTCTCCCGGGACCTAGGAGATTCCACAGGAGGGTTTAAGTAGAAAAACGCCCAGCTTAACCAGCATTTATATCACCCAACTGTGTGCCAAACACTCTGCAAATGACTATAAAATAGGCACATTTACTTCATGTAATCTTTCTTCCTTTTTTTTTTTTTTTTGAGACAGAGTCTTGCTCTGTTGCCCAGGCTGGAGTGCAGTGGCGCGATCTTGGCTCACTGCAACCTCCGCCTCCTGGCTTCAAGCAATTCTCCTACCTCAGCCTCCTGAGTAGCTGGGACTACAGGCATGTGCCATCACACCCAGCTAATTTTTGTATTTTTAGTAGAGACAGGGTTTCACCATGTTGGCCAAGCTGGTCTTGAACACCTGACCTCAGGTGATCCACCCAGCTCAGCCTCCCAAAATACTGAGATTACAGGCGTGAGCCACCACGCCTGACCAAATTTATGTAATCTTTCTACCAGCCTTATGAAGTAGGTCCACTATCTGCTAACATCAATTTCACAATCCAAAACTCTCCCAATCTAAAGATTTTCATAACTTATTTGGCAGCAAAATTTGAGCTGAACTGACATCTTTATTGATCCGAACTGACATTCTATCTTTGTGAATATGTGTATGTTTCACTGCAGAAACGCCATGTTTGATTGCAGGGTACTGCCCCAGATCTCACCAGGGACGTTAAAAACATAGGACACAGGCAAAGTGCTGCCTTTTATAAAATGCAGAACTTCTGAATTCTGAAACATACGTGATCCCAAGGGTTTGGGATAAGAGATTGTATAAAACCTGTCAATATTCTCATTTTACAGATGAGGAAGCTGAAGGATAAGTAATTTCCCCAAGGTCATATAGGTAGTAAGTAAGAAAGCCACAATATGAACCCAGGAAGTTTGGCCCTGCAGTCTATGCAGCATTGCATCTAAGCTATTCTCCACTTTAGAAAGATGTCTACAGTTGCTATTAAGACAATAGATGGAGAAAAAGAAATAGAGAAGAATGCCATGGCAGTCAACCAGACATAGGGATGGAAGGGAATGGAGAGTTAAGAGATGTTTAACGGAAAATTGACTGAGCCTGGTGGTTGTAAGCTGGCTGGGAGAGGTTGGGCATCACACGCAGATAAGTAAAGGACACATGGGGTTCTGGCTTCACAACTGGGGAGGCCGGATGGTGGGTCACTCAGTGATGCAGGGAACAGAAGAGGGAGGGGAGGGAGAAGAAGGTCATGAATTCTGTATTCCATGTCACATGTTTAAGTTGGGATGTCAACTAGGTAAGTGGCTATACATGGCTGGTGCTTGAGAAAGAGGCCTGGGATCAAGGTAAAGAGTTGGGAATTGCTAGATGCAGGTGGTCATTAAGACATGAGCATGGACTGAGTGGTGACACAAAGGTCTAAGTTAGAACGTGAAAGAACCCCAACCCTGAAGGGTAGGGAAGTAGAGAGGAAGAGAATGCCAGAGGCTGGGCACGGTGGCGCACACCTGTAATCCCAGCACTTTGGAAGGCCGAGATGGGAGGATCACCTGAAGTCAGGAGTTCAAGACCAGTCTGACCAACATGGCAAAACCCCGTCTCTACTAAAAAAAAAAAAAATTAGCTGGGCATGGTGGCCCATGCCTGTAGTCCCAGCTAATCAGGAGGCTGAGACAGGAGAATCGTTTGAACCCAAGAGGTGAAGGTTGCAGTGAGCTGAGATTGCACCACTGCAGTCCAGCCTGGGCCACAGAGTGAGACTCTGTCAAAAAAAAAAAAAAAAAAAATTGAAGAAGAAGAGAATGCAAGAGACTGGAAAGAGTGGAAAGAGACTGCTTCAAGAGGAAGGAAAAAGTCCTCAATGCCGGGTGCTCCCTTCCTCCTGCCCGCTCCTCCACGAGACAGGCGATCCCAGGAACTGTGGATGGGAGCTCATTCCAGGGACTGGTAAGAACTGGTCCTAGCATTTCCCAGTGCCACAGAGCCCAGAAACCAGCTCTGCCTGGTGCCCATCAGCAACGTAACCACCTCTGGGCTCCAGTTTCTACATCTAGCAACTGGAATAATAATGTCCATCTCATAGGCTTGTTGTGAGTATTAAATATACAAACAGAGAAGTCAGCATCCTCCCTGGATTTGTGGTGAGACCTCAAAAGGTTGCTCTAATTATCATTTATTTTATTATGTATGAGGTGGTGAAGAGTGGGTGGTGAGGGCATTTCAGGCAGAAAGAACACCATTAGCAAAGGTGTGGCAAGACGGCGTGTGTTCAGAGAAGAGACCTGTTGGGTGAAGGGTGTGTGGGTGGGATGTGGGGCCTGGAAGCAAGATGGACAATGAGGCTCAACAACCTCCCCCGCTCTGTTCCCTGTGTCACATGTTGTGGGATCCGCACCACCTAATCAGCATTCTCTTTAGAAATGCCTGCCACACCTTTGCTCCTCACCAACCCTTGCCTGCTACTGTGTAGGAACGGTCTCTAATCACCTCCCACTGCTGAGGGAAGCACAGGTCCTCGTCACCACCTGCCTGCACAGAACAAGCTTCCTAATGGATCTTCCTGTGCTGTCTTTCCTCCAGCACAGGCCCCAGGGCCATCTCTGTGGAACACCAACGTGGGCAGGCTGCCTCCTGCTTACAACACTTCCGCATGGCCCATCGCCTTGGAACAGAGTGCATTTCCACAGCCCTCACAGGCTTCCTTTCCCGTCTTTCTCAGCCTTGCTTTCCCTCCACAAACTCACACACTGCTCTAGGGTCTAGGCGACAAAGCCACCTGCCTTTACCAAGTGTGCCACAGACTTGTTTCCGGGCCTTTGCACATGCCAGCCCAACTAGCTTTCTTCCCCTAGACCTAGTCCACTCCCGTCTCAGTGCCATCTGGCCCCAGGACAAACCTTGATGCCACAATATTCCACATGGTATTGTACCGTTTGCTCCAGAGGTGTCGCAGTGCCCCACTGCTAGGCCATGAGCCACTTGCCTGGCTCTTAATAGAGGCTCAGTAGCAATGCGTGGAGGGACTGAGATTACAGAGAAAGGGCCAGAGCATGGGAGCCTTAAAGGACATGCTAGGGGCTTAGGTTACGGGAAAACCACCGAAGATGTGGGGGCCATGAACTGGCATCCTGACATGATCATGGATCATGTGGGGAAGGAGGGTGGAGGGGACGTGCCCAGGATGGTGGGACTTCTCCACCTCCAGAGGAAAAAGAGAGGCCGGAGAACAGCAGTTGCCTGCTAGATCAGATTGCAATGACTGGAGAGAAGGATTGACCTCCACCACCCTTAACAATGACCAACTGAGAATATCTGCTCCTGTACTGCAAGATCAGATCCAAGCCCTGCAGGTGGTAGCAGTGGGATGGGGGAGTCAATTCAATGGAGGGATTTTTCCAGGGGTCTATCAGAATCCACCCCTGGCTCTATATGTCTTCAAGCCACCCCCCACTTTGCCTGCCCTCTCTCACTACCGTCATCGGAGGGTGCTCACCTGCCTGCCTTCGCTTTCTCCCACTCACTCCTTACCTCATCTCCATATGGCTTTGACCTCATCCCTCCAGTGAGGCAGCTCTTGAAGGTCAACAGCAGCTTCAGGTGTTGTCCTTGTGACCTTTTCTCAGGGTTGACATATCACCTCTCTGTAGTCTTTATCCTTCTTCTCTCCTCTCCCTCTCTCTGAGTCTACTGTTACCTCTCCAATTACCCCTTGCACTGGTTTCTCATTGTATGCCAACCCCTTCAGAACAGGTAATTTCCTAAATTCTGCCCTTGGCTGGCTTTTCCTCTCTCTGTGCACACATTCTCTGAATATCTTTTATCTTACCACACTTCAAGTTCTCATTTATTATTCAAATGATTCCCAAATCTATGTATCTAGACATAAGCTTTCTCTCCAAGCTTGAGATTCACAGATGGTGGACCATAAATGAGATATATTTCTTTTTTTTTTTTTCTTTTCTTTTTTTTTTTTGAGACCAAGTCTTGCTCTGTTGCCCAGGCTGGAATGCAGTGGCACGATCTCGGCTCACTGCAACCTCTGCCTCCTGTGTTCAAGCAATACTCCTGCCTCAACCTCTCCAGTAGCTGGGATTACAGGCATGCACCACGATGCCCAGCTAATTTTTGTATTTTTAGTAGAGACGGGATTTCCCCATGTTGGCCAGGCCAGTCTCAAACTCCTGACCTCAAGTCATCCACCCGCCTTGGCCTCCCAAAGTGCTGGGAATATAGATGTGAGTCATTGCGCCTGGCCTAAATAGGATATATTCCTAACAAATGAAAGAAAAGATACTGTTTAAAGTTATAACTCAAAATCATGAAGGGGTCTCTTGATGGACTAGAAACTGTGGAGAATTCCTAAAGATGAAACGCTGATGAAATGATGATAGGATTGGATTGAAGAAAGAATACTTAGTTTAAAATATGGATGGGAGAGCACCATGACCAAGGAGGAAGGGCCTGGGAGCTGGAGGGATCTGGGGCAACCCAAAGGGAGAAACCATCAAGAGGAACTGCCACGTGTTTGGCCTCCATAAACCAATTCCTGCTCACATATTCACAAATGCCCAGCCAGCCAGAGGCAACTGGGTTCCCACCAGGTAGGGCAATGGCTGTCAGCTTGGGTCAGAGAGACAAAGCAGCGCTCCATGAATACCAGAAACTGGAGCACCCACATCTGCAAGACCAGCCTGTACCATACCCTGTTCCTAACTGTCCACCCTTCCTTGTCTCCAACCTCACTTCCATCCCACTCTTTCCCAAAGCAAGCAGCACAGACATCAGAGAGTCTAACAGAGTCTCTCGATTCAAACAAAGAGCACATCAACAATCAGCAATTATTTGAGTAAGGCCACACTATGAAAGAAATAGAATGAACCATTTAAAAAAAAAAAGAAATTACAAAGTCCAAGTATAATCATAGCAAGACTTAATACAATTCAAATACTTGGAAGGGGCAGGGTGCGGTGGCTCACACCTGTAATCCCAGCACTTTGGGAGGCCGAGGAGGGTGGATCACCTGAGGTCAG